GTTAGCAGTCAAATGCCTTAGGCACTGCACCACAGAGCTCCTTTAATATACTGAGAGCTGTCAAAAATCATATGGGAAGGAGTCATTAAGTCCTTTTAAGTATTGGAAAACACACAAAATCATGAGAAAAGAATTAAGTATCAAAATCATTAGAAAACATAGATACAAAATTCACATTTTCTAGTAATACAATTCATTAACTTGATATGATTTTTTTCAGATAGGAAATCAACAAAACTAAAGAAAGAAAAGAGGAAAAAGAAGTTTATTTATGATCCATGTTGGGGAGGGTTCAATAACCCTTCTTGAATGTAGAAGCTTTCTAGAACCATAGTCTCTGTTATGAGCTTTAAAATATTCTGCACTCTGACCATGGCTCTAGCCACTGTCTATTCTGACAAGACAACCATGTGTACAGACAAAAATGTTTGAATAATGTTTTCCACAAAATCCTATAGTAGGCAAAATAATATTAAGACAATCCAAAATTTCAAGACTTAAGAAATGCTTACATAGTGTATTTATTAAAATTAAAGTTTTTGAAGAAAATGTGACAACTTAGAAAATGTTAATTTAGGGGGAAAAAAAGGGCGGGGGCAACACAAATCGTCCATGTGCATTAAATCAAAGTCTAGGTACAATTGATAAAAAAACACAGGATTCAAGAGCCTGGAGCCGGAGCCAATGTCTAAGAAGCAGGCTGACACCCTCAGTGAAAGCCCTGGGTTGAACTCTTGTGCAGAATGAGGGCAAGTCCTGGTCACATAAAGGGAGACAGGGTAGATTGCTTGAAGACAAGAATCTCTTTTTTACCAATTTTACCTAAGATAAGAAATGACCATAATGGTGTAAAGCTAATAATGGCATCATTATGCACAGATGCACTACCATCACCTACAGCATTGATAGTGCTACATGGGCACAACTAGATATTCAGATCATTCGATCTGTTTCTATGGCATAGTTTCTACGTCAGAAGTATTGCAGCTTTGGAGGGAAGTGCTTCATATATTCTACATAACAGCTCCTAAGAGGATGAAGAATTTTTACACACTGGAAGTTGAATTCCTCAAAGAATTATGATTGCAATTCCATGATATATTTAGCTAAGAATAGGCATTATAGAGAATTGCTTTACTGTGTTATTTCCTGGGTCATTTGTCTGATGCTAATTTCAAAACAACAATAGTGCTTGTGTGTTTTCAATAAGATACTTTAAAAAAAAATGTTTCTAGATAAGTAGATAACATTTTAGGAGCTCTGGTGGCATAGTGCCTAATGCATTTGATCGCTAACCAGAAGGCTGGCAGTTCAAACCCACCAGCCACTCCTCAGAAGGAAGGTTGGGTGATCTACTTCCATAGTGACACTGCCTCAGAAACCCAAGGGAGCATGGCTATGAGTAGGATCCGACTCCAGGGCAGTGAGTTTGATTTAGGTAACATTTTATTGTAAATTTCTTTGAATTTCAATGACTACACTTTAATTGGAATGCAGGAATGCAGGTTTGTGTAATGATGCCAAATTTGTGTTTTTTAAATTGTAAATATTAATAATAATGTTCTCTTTCTATGGCTAATTATTGTAGCACATGCAATTCACAGAGTTATTGAAAAAAGTTTCAAATAACTTTCCTGTACTTGACAATTTTGTTGTAGGTGGTATGAGATCAGTGTTCAATAATTTCAATGAAATTGTTGAAAATTAAGTGGAGTGATAAATAGAAGATTCTTCTTGCTGTAGAACAGCCCACTCAGATGGCTGACGCGTACAATGCCCTCTTCTCTGTCCTTTCTGTTCTGTATTTATTGTTGATTCATAGGCAACCTTCAAAAGGGGAAAATAAGGGATTAAATAAATATATAAAATATCTCTCATATATGCAAGGACAGAGATGACAGTTGCTAGACAGAAGACATCCTAACAGAAACAGGAGGGGGTATTTAATTGATATAGATGCTAAAGTTGTAAATTCATTATCTCTTATCAATAGCTATATGTTGTCATTGATGCATTTTCTTTTGCATGTATTGTCAATGCATTATAAAAGCATACAAAGAGCTCTGGTGGTATAGTGAATAAGGCATTTGAGTGCTAACCAGAGGTCAGTGGTTCTAACTCACCAGATGCTCCAAGGAAGGAAGATTTACAGCTTAGGAAACCCAATGAGGGTTGCTATGTGTTGGAATTGACTGGATGGCAGTGAGTTTATAAGGGCATGCACCTCCAACAGCATGTAGAGTTCTAGTTACCAGAGATTTATTTTTAAAGACACTGAAACAGAATGTGTACATTTCTTTTATCAGTCAAAGACAAAAACATTATGTCAATAAATGTTAGTTTTACTTCTTATTACTTAGACATTAAAAATGATTAATTACTGATCATCGATAGGACAATTGGTTATTTAATAAAGAAATATATCAATACTTACAGTTGTCTTGTATAACATAGATTTTCCTTTTGATTTCCTTTGTCTTTCTCTTGTCAGACAGAAATTTATTTAAAATTTCATTATTATGTCTACAGATAGATGTGCTCTTGCATATTCTCTAAAAGCAATTGTTTAGCATTAAGGAAAATAAAGGATAGTTCAGTGACGTTAATGCAATTTTGTGGCAGTGTAAAAAGATTCAAGGGAGGAAAAAATAATCCTTTTGTTTTTCTTTGGTCCCGTGTTACTTCCTTAGTTTTCTGGGGAGGCATTATAGGAAAGGAGTTTGCCTCGGTGGGCCTCACTATTTGGGAGGGAGCTCTGTTAGAAATTTAGAATAGAGGCCAAAGATGGGCTGGAGATGCACCCGTGAGAAGAGCGGTAAGTTAGAGAGAATGGTAAATTAAAGCATTAGAAAAGTTATTTTAAAAGGGGGTATCATCCCAGTAAATCATTCAAAAGTCTCATTTGGTTTGAACCTTGCAAGGAAAAAAGAAAAAAAAAAATGACCAAGAAGGAAATGCTTTGATTTTGCACTTTGGAGCCTGAGTGTGAGTGCCAGCTTGCCGCCTACCCCTGATTGCGTTGGGCAATATTCCACGGGAAGGAACTGGTCCTCCTGGCAGCCTGTACAGCACGGATTCCCAGAAGGTGTAACAGCACGGGAATGGGACCGAAGAGGGGGGTTGCCGCTCATCTGTTGCACAAACGCGATGCTGGAGCGAAAGTCTGTGGGGATGCAATCTGTGACTTTCAGCCCAACCCAGGGTGGTAGGAAAGGAAAGGAAATCAAGTAGAAACGGAGCGTCTCGAGTGGGGTCATCGCTTGCTAAAATTCCATATGGACGTCACTCTATTTTACAAATTAACTCTCAGATCTTTCTGTTGTAAGAGGGAAGTTGTCTTGGGATGGTGATCAACCAAGTCTTCGTGAGTTGACACGCTGGGAATCACCGCCTGGCGTTAGAACAAGTTGTCCACATTGCCGCTGTAGCTGTATCCTCTCCGCTTTGCCCTTTACATTTTCGTATGTGAGCACCAAAGAGGTTGGCCAAGAAATAACTTTTATCCTGAAATCTTAGTAGGAGGATGCAATTGTGCATACACACACTCGCGCGCACACGCCACCTGCAGCCACCAAACCTCCAATCTCAGGCTGGCCGGTGTCTGGGGTTTTTAATATTTGGAAACGTACTGATTTCCTATGGCAAGTTTCCAGAATCAGCTGGGTAGAGGGTGGGCCGAACGCTGTGGCTCATCATTTGTTCTTGCACATTAACAACAACAACAACAACCCTCTCAATTGTTTTAACCTAAGTGGTAAGCCGCATCCTCTCGCTTCTTACAGGACAAGTGTGACACCTCGAGGACAGGAGAAGGGGTGCTAGGAGTCCCGAGTGAGTGGAGATGCTTAGAGAGTTGTAGGGTGGGAGTGTTTGTTTACTGGGGAATGAGCAGGGCGATCGGAAGCTGGGCCCGGGTGCCTAGCCTCCCTGCATAGCCCGCATTGGCTTGGAATTGTGTCTGACTTTCATGTAAGATTGCGCGAAGAGCTATAGCCACACACTTGGCTGCATGACGGCTGGCTTTCGGAGACGTAACTGCCTAACTGGGTGACTCAAAGCAGTTGGTCAAGGAAGGCAGTGGATGGATATCCTGGGGCAGCAGAGCCGGTGGCTGAGAGGTGCGTTAAGTCCTGCCAGGTGACGGGTCCCTCCACGGCCACTCAGAGCGGCGCGTGGGACGCGCATCTTTCCTGCTGTCCCTTCCCAGCGCAGTTGGTGCGGACCAGGAGCCCAGCAGCAGCTGGGACGCAGGGCGGGGTGTTTCCTCTGCGCTCACCGCGGTTAGCCGTGGGAAAGGGAACTTTATCCTGAGGGACCGGTGGGGGAGGGGGTGGGCGAGGTTCTCCTCCCCCTCGCCCACCACTTCCCCCTCCTGGTCGCCCTCCCCAGCCTCCCAAGGCTCGCTTTTCAAGCATCTTCCCTCCGCCCAGCTTACTGCCAGCTGCGTGGGCTCCAGCTTCGTGCGTTTGCTTTGGAATGCTCCACAACTCGGCAGCGACTGAGGAAAGCGCATAAGAATTTGCTCGGCGTGCTCTCACTGGGCATCGCACCGACCCTCTAGTGCTTGGATCTGATCGTCCTTCAGCCAGAAGACTGCAACTTTCCAGGTAAAGGGGGTGTCACCTGAGAGTGCCATTTGAGGACAGCTACATCTCACCTCCTTTCTGGGATCTCGGTTAAGTTTCCCAAGCTGCCTGGGAAGTTGGCTCCCTCCTGGGAGTCGGACATCCCTAGGGCTTTAGGAGTTCAGAAGGCTCTGGCTGCATAAGGTTTCACTTCAAGGCTCGGGACAGGGTTTCTGAAGCTTCTGTGATTGACTGGGGCTGAACGAGAGTTTGGTGATGTCTCTCAGCATCTCACAACAGCCTACTTTAAAGCGGGGGAGAGGGCGATGAGTGAACCCCCAGTGTGACTTATATGGTAAACAAAGCAGCTGCAGCTGAGCTCTGGTGCTGGGTAGGGAGGCTGTTTTTAGCCTTTTATGCATTTGGAAAAAATGAATATCGTAGTGGCCCTTGAGCGTATATATCTGAGCCCTAGGCTCTCTCGCATGTAAACTGTGGGAATAAAGGAAGGTGAGTGATCAATATCCTGTTGATCAATTGTACTCTGCGTCATTATCATTCTCCGTCAAGAAATAGAAACACTTTTATGCTTGCTCCTGGACCGAGACTAGGGATTCCCAGTTCACCAAGCAACCGAGATTCCAATTAAACCAATGACCCTCTTTGCTGCTCAGGTAAATCACTGGGATTCATTGCACATTTTGCTGTTTCCGCTGTAAATTCAGCTGCCTTTTGTGACTAGAGACCAGTGAATATGGGAGAGAGTGAAAAAAGATCTTGTCTGTCTTTGCTATGGTTTATCCACTATGATGTGTCCGTGTTCACATGGATTCGCAAGGAGGTCGTTTCAGTTAAATTTCACAGTTAAAAAATGCAGCAGGTTGCCTGAGGAGTATTCATCAGGCCAAAGGAGCGGGAGGAGGCAGGAGCAATAATGATAATGATAATGATAATGATAATAATAATAATAATAAAGCAGGTATTATTGAACAAAAATTAAACAGAGCTGTAAAGCTGAAAAAAAATATGTCAGGAATTATTATTTCTGGCTTTTCCATTGTAGGAATCACAATACAAAGAATATTAAAAGTTCTTTAAGAACAAAAATTATTGATCTTTTTCTAAGTAAAACTCTGAATGAGTGAGAGTAAGTATGAGCGCATATGGTAAAACATTGAAATCTCAATATGGTCTGGTTTGTTATTTAAATTTATTTTGCATTTATATTTGTAATACATGTTTTTATTCACCTGGACAGTAGATCAGGAAACACTCTGCCCTCCTTTAAATATTTAAGAAGAAAGAGTAATAAGATATAAGCACTTTACAAACTACAATAATGAAGTAACAGATTGTTAGTACAAATCAGCACATAAGTAAAAGTCAAATAGGCTTTATGAAAGTATTTCATGCGAACATCTTAGATTAATAAAGGATGTCCAGATTAATACAGGTAGAAAGAAAGAAAACACTTGCATGGATGGCAGAGCACTAGACATGAGCTGTCTGTCCAAGAGCTCTGAACAGTGCTCACATCCTGTTAAGCTTGTGGGTGCAGGGTAAGATCAGCTAGATTTATACCAAGAGAGTTAGGCACAAAGAGAAATACTGAAAAGTTGATGAAATCAGTACATAAGAGGTGCTAAATATTCATTGAATTAATTTATCTGGAGTTAGAGATTTAAAGAAGAATAATGACAAGATTTGTTACTAAAGATTTGTTAAAGTTCTACTTTCTCTCCAATAAGAACTTAAAGAAACATGGGTATTCATCCAAGCATGAATTATCAAAGCTAGAAAGATACATGAAACACACCTCTTAATAAACCTGTCAGACATTGGCAATGCTTCTGAAAATGAATTTATCTCATTTATTTGCTTAGTGGTCATTCTCAAAAACATAAAATTTGGAATAGATGTATATTGCTTCTAAATTTTAGCATTTTATGATCCTAATATTGTTTATTATTCTAACATTTATTTTTAGAAGGTCAAGATCAAAATGCATAGAGAAGAATATGAAAACATTGAAGTTCTCTATGAAATATAGAGCCATCTTTAATGTTATTAAAATAGTAAGAGATTTAAAAAAATCCAGTTAATACAATCCTAACTAATCCATACTTTACATAAAGAGAAAATACCAGAAGCATTGTCATTATTTTTTTTCTACTTGGACATTTTAATATCTTATTCATTACACATATTTAAACTTTATTTCTCATCTTTGCTCCATGGAGAGCTACAGACATCTAAAGGATTAAAAAGTTATCTGTTCTAACACTCTCAATCAGGAAACCTAATAAAATTTAAAAGAAAACAAAGAAAGAAACAACTCCTGTTTTATAAGCTATTACACTATTTCAACCCATGAGAAATATGGAAATTAGATGAATTGATTTATCAATACTTGAATGGTTTAGTCTATCAGTATTTGAATGAAAAACATGGTATTAAAACATTATTTAGAATAAATAGTTTTAGAAAATTGCTGACTGAACTGTAGAGGAAGGAGAAACAATGTACAACCATTATTTGAATTTTTCTATTATGATATCAAAATAATAAAAAGATCTGATTGTCTAGTCAAATGCTATCAAGTTACCCTATTTAAAAACATGATTACTTTTTTATTGAGGTACATAAGCCCTTTTAAGGTGTACTTTCAAGGAGCTTCTGCTAACCATAAGATTGGTGGTTTAAACCCACCAGCCACTCTGTGGAAGCAAGACTGGGCAATCTACTTCCATAAAGATTTATAGCCTCGGAAACCCAGTGGGGGTCACCATGAGTCAGAAATGACTCTATGGCAGTGGGTTTGGAAGGTGTATTTTTAACCTTGCCAAATTAAAAAATACTTTTCAGAAATAAATGGTTGGGAATATTCTATAACATTTTTATACTTGCTTGCTTAATTGGCTGGATAATTTATGGCCATTTAGATGATAGGTATTACATCTAGCAGCTAAAAGCTGAAATAATCTTCCTTCTGTAATTAATATATGTATTGGAACAACAAAAACAATAAAAAAGATATGCACACATTTGTTCAATAATGAATGTTGGGAGATCAGTGCTCAAAGGGTTAAGAAGTTTTGTGAAAATAAGACAGATAAATAAGAAATGTTGAACAATGACTGGGACAGTAAAACTGTAGAATGAATGTTTCTTTATGAAAATGTGACTATTCCATTTTGAAAACTAGCTAGGTGAAGGGAAAATATAATAAACTATTAAATTTCATTTTTTCAAAGTCATCATTACCAAGCTATGCCATACAATTCTAATGTTCATCTTGCTTTTCTAATTTGAATTGTTTGGCCTGTTAAGACTAGTAATATCTACCAATTACACCTACGAAAAACTTACTGTGGGCACGTTGGTTCTCTTTGAAAATGCAGTTGAAGTTGTTGTTGTTATGTGCCATCGAATTGGACCCAACTCATAGCTACCCCTCCTTGGGTTGCCAAGGCAGTATCACTACGGAAGTAGATTGCCAAGCCTTTCTTCTGAGGAGTGATTGGTGGGTTTGAACCTCCAGCCTTCTGATTAGCAGTCAAGTGCCTTAGGTACTATGCTACCAGAACTCCTAAAATAAACTATTAAATTTCATTTTTTCAAAGTCATCATTACCAAGCTATGCCATACATGTTTAATGTTCATCTTGCTTTTCTAATTGAGTTGTACTTCTTCCAATATATATTAGTTCATTCTTCTGACACTCCAGAGTATATTCTATACTCTTTAACAACACCATAATTCAAATGCATCAATTATTCTTCAGTCTTCCATAGTCATTGTCCACGTTTTTCATGCATATGAGGCAATTGAAATGTCATGGCTGGGGCAGGTGCACTTTAGTCCGCAAAGTGAAATCTTTGTTTTGAACAAAAAAAATCTTTTGCAGCAGATTTGCAAATGGAATACAACCTTTTATTTCTTGACCTTTGTTTCCATGGGCATTGATTTTGGATCAGAATAGAATGAAATCCTTGACAACTTCAGTATTTCCTCTGTTTATCAGGATGTTGCTTATTTGTCCAATTGTCAGCCTTTTGTTTTCTTTATGTTGACTTCTAATTCATACTGAAGCTGTAGACTTTGATCTTCATCAGTAAGTGCTTCAAGTTTTCTTCACTTCAGCAAGGAAGGTTGTGTCATCTGCATATCACATGTTGTTAATAAGTCTTTCTCCAATCCTGATGCCACATTCTTCATGTAGTCCAATTTCTTGTAAAGATTAAATAAGTATAGTGAAAGGATACAACCCTGACATTCATCTTTCTTGATTTTAAACAACTCAGTATGCCCTTGTTCTATTCAAATGACTGCCTCTTGTTCTGTGAAAATGTTCTACATAAGCAAATTTAAATGTGCTGGAATTCCTGTTCCTAAAAGTTTTATCCATAATTTGTTACAATCCCCATAATTGAATGCTTTTGCATAGTCAGTAAAACACAGGTAAACATCTTTCTGGTATTCTTTGCTTTCAGCCAAGATCCATTTGATATCAGAAGTGGTATCCCTCATTTCCAAATCCAACTTGAATTTCTGGCAGTTCCCCATTGATGTACTACTGCAACCATTTTTGAATTATGTCCAGCAAAAATTTTCTTGAAGATGATATTAATGATATTGTTAGATGATATCTGTATTCCATTTGGTCATCTTTCTTTGCAATGAGCTCACATATGGATCTCTTCCAGTAAGTTGGCTAGGTAGCCATCTTCCAGATTTTTTGAAGTAGATGAATGAGCACTTCAAGCATTGCATCTGCTCATTGAAACATTTCAATTGGTATTTTGTTGATTTTGGGAGCCTTGCTCTTTACCAATTCCTGCAATGCAGCTCAGACTTCCTTCTTAGGTACCTCAAGTTCTTGATCATCTCTACATTCTGAAATTGTTGAATGTCAACCAATTTTTTTGGTACAGTGACTATGTATTCTTTCTGCAATCTTTTGATACTTCCTCCATTGCTCAATATTTTACCCATAGTTCTTCAGTATTATAACTCAAGGCTTGAATTTTTCCTTTAGTTCT